AGAATGATTTCCCTTGATCTCGTATAAGATAAAGACGGGTCTGTGCATCTTAACTTATAAAACTGTTTAGATGTGCAGTATGTAAGTGAACGAAATATAATCTCGTTTGAATCATCATTAATTCAAGCATATTTGAGATATAATTTATGCAATTATACTGGACATGTTTTCTATCACACTCCATTTACCATCTCTATAAATGTCAGTTTTACTTTTTCATGCGATCGTCATGAAAAGTAATATCAGAACATCTTATAGAAGTTAATTCAGAAAATCTAAAGAAGCCTGCATATCCATGTAAACACATTGTAATACTTCTTAACCTAAAGAAATTATTTTTATCGTTGCTATACATAAACACTAATTTATGAAACATTTCCGGTGTAATAGGTTCTTTTTATGAAAATGCATGTCCAAGAATTATGTTAGCTGCCTCCCGTTCTGACCTTATAGAACATCCGGCCAAATCACGAGTCCATTTATCTCTGTAAAAGGCATCGTCAACACTAGACGCTGAATTACATTTTGAGTGATAGAAACCAAAACCTGGTAAAGAATTAAGTTTGTAATTCGACGCCCACTGACATCAGGCATTGAACGATCGTTAGTACATTTTGCTAGTATTGAAAGCTCCAGACTTTAAACAACGCTTGGAAGACTAGCAGCCAGGGACGACAACTCTGGATTTCTTGTACTTCTCCAAATGACTATATAACTATGAAGCTATCATACCTGCAAAACGTAAAACGACAAGAAAATTTTATAAAAATATTTCCGACGATATAAAAATGTAATCCTATAGTTCCGAATTTCAGACAATACTAGTATAAACAACCAAAATACAAATAAATATAAACGGAAAGCTGAAAATAATTAAAACTGAGTCCATATGAACCGTTCATCACGCTTTATTTCTAAGTCTATTCGTTATCCGTAAAAAAGACTAAAAATATTACAATCAGCGGAAAATCAACCACAGTCAAACCGTTATTATGACCAAACAAAATCAGCTAATAAAATAGAAAATAAAACCTATCAAACAACAATATTGTAAATCTTAAGATAAAAAAAATCTCGCACATCGATGTTTTCCACTGTCTATCGACTAGCGTACTACACAATTAATTATGTTTTGATAAATCTCAATAGGCGCTTGTCACTGCCCAACTGCTGGAGTATCAAACAATAACAAATTTATTGTCATCGTTATAAAAATAAATGAACTATCTCGCTATACATATAACAAGAAATAATTATAAAAATATAAGAGTGGTCATAGTGCACGTGTAAGGCTGTGATATGATTTCACAAAAATGATTAAACTTATTATATTAAAACAGAACAATCTAATCGTATAGCTAAAACTTTACTGTTGAATCTTTCAGACACAAAAATAGTTTGTCTATTCACATATTGTACAGAATGTCTTGTCTTTAGGAAAAACACAAAATATCAATGAGGTATATTTCGGGTATACTGCTATTACCAAACAATATTGGCCAAAAACGGTGCCGATGGCCAATGAGGTACAATTAAAACTCATTGTGCTTTACAAAGGACCAACTGATTAATAGTTTTAGGCACAAACGTAACAGGGGGAACCAGCCAGTTATTTTCCCCTGACCAATCAACTGAAAAGGCATCGACTTGCTCTGTTCCCGGAACCCAGAACAAAGAATCAAATTTTTTTAACTTTACAATTATAATATTTGGCAAATCGATCTATCGAAAAGGCCCCCACATATCATCTAAAAAATTGAAAAATTCTGTATTAATGCCCCAATCATCAAACATCAAAAAACGTTACTAATTTGATCTGAAACTTATTTTGCGCCCTTGGAACCCAGTCTATATGTTAGCGTATACCTTCTTAAATACAAACATCAAAAATGTACACAGCGATGGAATGTAACTTTTGTTTCATACTCTCCCCGTCAATGATTGTAACACAGTTTTGATTATCGGACTGATTTACCGGAAATAAACATAACGAAACTTTGTAGATCAAAATATATAGCAGACAACTTCAGCCATGTTGAACTCTCAGTTTTATTTCACACTCAGACCAATTCATATGACAAATACATTTATCAGAGTTTAACATATAAGACCCATATGATGGCATCAGAGAAGATATTTATATTATACTTCTGTTCAATGAAATAGAGCTTAAAAGGATTGCTTTTAAACTGATATCTCCAAAAAATGACTGATGTACACATCCGTCTACTAAAGACATTGAAAACAGTACATTATAAAATGGTACGGTGTGGATTTTTAGTAATTAGTTTGAAAACTTCCCCTAAAGTAGGCATCACACACATAACTTTCCCGTAAAACGTGCTAACTCTCATGCAGTCGTGAAAAGTAAAATATTCAATTTTTTAAAACTCATCCGACAAAACTTGCATCTTAAGACCCCGATTGGAATGATTTATTCACATCCCAGCCGTCGTCCAAAATACAACCAATCGGATACTATATTCCGTGCATGTTTCACGATGCACCTTAAACACTTAGTGAAAATGAGTCGCTGATGTTAACCCAAATTGCAATACGGTTAAAATATAGTACTTGTGAATACCGTTATAATTCCAAGAAAAAAAAACTAAAAATGTCTGCTGAGAAGTAAAGATATCGATATGATGATACGCTGACGTAATATCAAATTGAACATTAACCCATACCCAGCTTAAAGAAGAAAATCAAATGCTACTTTCAAAGCCTCAAACTTAAAATGTTCTTTCCAAACGTTATTATTTAAGTTTCATAGATCTAAAATTAACCTTTTCGTCCCAGAATTATTAACTGAAACAGACAACGGACTTACAGTATAAGGCAAAACCGATCCCGACCTAAATAAACCGGTAGTAGCCTCAGTAAACAAATTCACCGAGTACTCGAGCAGATTTATTAATGTTTTTTTTTATAAACGAACATTTCGAAGTATTATAAAAGGAATTTTTATACCCATTCTTTATGACATCCAAAATAAAATCTGGGTTTTTATCGTCATCTCCCAGAAATGATATTGTTTTAGTAAACTCCCCTTGACAAAAGAATTATTTGACTTGCATATGTAGTTATTATGAATAAAGGTTTTCTGATACTCAAAATAATGTTCATGAATATAGAAATTCATGTCTATGTAAAAGAATATTCTTTACAGTTGAATAAATCTACAAAATCAAACTTATCTTTAACTTTGCCTTCATTTTGAATTTGGAGTATGTCTGAGTCTTTGGGCTTGAACCAGCTTTTAGGAGCTGCCGACTGTGAACCTGGCTGAGATCCGCTGAAGCCTGAGAAAAACCGATGATAAATGACTTCCTTTGATCTTGGGACATTCAGCCCGGAAATGTCCCTATGCGAAACACTGTACCGTCCTGCTTGTCGAAAGGAACAAAAAAGCCTGACATTGGTTTGAATACCAAAAGGAGAACTAGGACACTGGTAACGGTTTCTTCGCTTTTCGTTTAGAGAGCGCATGACTTTCAGCGCGTCGTAGCCTCTTCTCGTCCTCGCTGTCACTGGCCAACTCGTCAGACTCATACTCGCACAACGTTTCCGAACCGCAAAACTTTTGTCAGCTATTTTGATGAGTTTGTTGCGTTTACAAACTGTCTTTTTGATTTCATCAGCTCAAGAGATTTTCCTTGTTCTCTCTGTTTTATAAGTTTTGCAGAAGCATCCAAATTATCATAAACGTCCTTTTTGAATAAGAACTGCTTCTTATTCCCTATGTACTTGAAATCTGGCGTACAGGTGCTTTCCTTAAACCTTTTGAATGTCGTTGTTGAAACTGCTTGTACTTCCTGCCAAAGATCTCTCTTAAACAATTTGAATTTTATTGTCGAAATACGTGTTGATAGAATCAAACAATTCCGAGTTCGAATCTCGTCTGTCGCTGAAAGTGGCTGAACTCTCGTGGGCAATCGTCTATTAATTCTTCGTTAGTAGCCATTAAAATTCAGTGTACGATAGAGTACATTAAACGTGTGTAGCAATGCAGAAAACCTCGAATGATGTACACATCCAACCGAATTTAATATACAATGTATATTACTGGTGCACGAAAATATCGTGCGTATCATTTTCAATGATTTTCAATACAATAAATATTCGATTACTTTAACCCAGGATAGATATATTTCTTGTTTTAAATAACTATCATTTGATAATATAAAAATTAATTTGTAGATATATTTTTTATTATACGATTTCTTTACATCTCGGCGTGGTTATTAAAGATCCTGTCTATTGTAATTAAGGTTGTTACCACACTTAAGCGAAATTTTATGTATGTATATTATTATTCTTCTAAAACAATTTTCAAGCAACGAAGAATATGTAAAATATGCACTGCAAATATTTGCCCACATTATATGTAATCATTTAAATATATGCATTCATTAAAAAAAATGACTTTTTAGAAAATAAATTTCTAATTACCTCCCTTTATCAACATGAAATTTAAATTCGGTAATATCTTTACAAATAATGCTTTTGGAACTTACAATATGGATATATCTTCATTTGAAAATTATAATTTTGATATAAAATATGATTTACAAGATCAACAAGGTAAGGCGACATTCAATGAACGCAACAAAATTATTAAATAATTTTGTTACAGGATCTTTAATGTCGAGATGATCATATTGATATGGGGTTTGTTAACATAAAGAAGATCTTATGTCGTGGTGTACCAGGACATACTGACATGAAACAATACAAAAATATCTATATTTTACTAAATAATACCAAAGTTCAAACTCATAGCTTCCGTACTATGTAGATTTTAAAACGTTATGATATTTAACATACTAGCAAATCATTGAATAGTAAGAACTTGTAACAAAGCCAAAGACGGCAATACGTAAATAACATGATAAAAAATGATATGAAGTAAAATTGCAGACCCAACACGCGATATAATTACAAAAATCATACATTCATTTTTATTGTATCTGTGATGCTTTACGTCCCTTACAATCAACTTATTGTTGAAAGTCTTGATTCGAATATCTTTTGACCAGTTGTTCATTGATAGTTTGTGCATCGGCAACGCATTCGTCTAATAGGGACCATAATATAGAAGCAGTGCTACAGTAAGATATCCCTCCCGCAACAATACATCCAAATACAGGCAAAACATAGGCTGTCATTTTCTCTGTAATTTCTGATGCAACCAATGCGGTCGTAAAATTAGTAACCATTTGTACAGTCGACACTGCTGTTCTCAAACGTCCTTTAAGATTTTCGAGAGCTATTTCCAGTGCGAGTGACATTTTCTGCAACGATTCATCATCAAGGCCAAACTGTTGTTTGTAAAAATCGACTTCATGCATAATGATTTCTTTATCTACAGCAATACTAACTCCTGGCATAGGAACTGCTCCACCAAGTGCTGAACCTAGTGCTACTATCATGATTCTTTTTCTAAGTACATTTTTCTTTCGATTTATGAGATCTCCTGTGAGACTTGTCAGTGTTAATGTCATCGCTTCTTGTTTCCATACTGGCGCTTCTTTGATCATTTTTTCTATGAGGATTGGGAAATCATAATCTTGATCATCGCGGTTGTCGATAAGGTAGACCTTGACGTTTTCAAACTGTTCTGTTGCTATTTGTTGTGCCATTTCATTTCGTATTTTATCAACTGTGACAAATTTACTCTCATCATTATCTTTTTCGTTGTTGTCTACATCATAATTCATTTTTGTACGGATAAAAATGAATTTTTTCTCAAGTTTTTCAACTTTCTTTGCTAACCAAATATCGTTTTCGTGAAAACGAGTTGCCGTCAATATCAGAAAAAAATCATACCTTTCAAAACCGACTTCTTCTAAATACTTTTCCTTCGGAAATTTCTGTGTACCAATCCCCGGAAGATCCCAAAGTGCAATACTGTTATTGTCTGGGTGCATATATTTAGTTGGTTCCGTAGTCGTTTCATTTACGCCAACCGCAGCTGCGCCTTCAGTCCGTGGTTTAACTCCTCTAAACTTGTTTATAAATGACGACTTACCAACCCCTGGACTTCCTGTGACAGCAATATTGACGGGGACATTTCTCCATTTGCTCATGTCTTCCTTGATTTTTTTATTTAATAATGACATTCCACCAATTTTAAAAGTTTCTTCGTATTCAGCAGCCTCTTTTTTGTCAAAAGTTTTAAGGTTTTTGATTACCGATGCCAAAGACTTACTTGCAGATTTGTTTCGTTCACTCATTTTGTTGATAGTTAAATAACAACCTGAAATAATAGTTTACAAAATATTGAAATTACCAATTTGACAAATTATTTGTATTTTATTATTTTTTTGACACATGATCAGTAATTTTGATCAATGTAACATTATATATTTTCCTTTTCTGAAATACTACTACTAAATTAAAGAAACAAACTCCAAACAAATATATATTTAAAAGGAAATTGTAACAGATGGAAAATTGAAGGATTTATTGCATTACTGAATGATATAATAGAAGACTTTATAAATTGAGCTATAATATCAAAGCAGTTTATTCACTCTTTTCTCCCTTTTTGCATATTAAGAAAGCTTCTAAATTTTCAGTTAATGTCTTACATCTTCAAAATATCCTGACGTAAATCACAAAATATTTAATTGAGTATCGACTAATCAATGTAAATGCTATACCTATCATTTATCATTGTATCTATCATTCTCTTGAAAATAAACAGGCCTTACACGTGGTTAAAAAATTACAACAACTTCATTAACCTTGATCAAACGACCTAAAACAAACCTAAAGGGTAGAAATCCTTCCAAATAACATACTATTATCATATGGCGCGGTTTGTTTTCATAACTACCTTAACATATTTGTTATATTGTAAACATGTAAAACAGCAACATTAAAAGCCACAACTGATAAATTATTAATACAAGAGAACCATGATGGTCTTGATAGCGCACTTCTGAATATAAATACTCTTAATGACAATTGAAAACCATAAACGAAAGATATAAAATCTAAATTTTAAACTGATTTCATAAAGTTTACAATTGTATTTGAAATAGTACATATGTAAAATATCACTGGTCACTATTGCTCTGGGAAACTTAAAGAAGTAACTTGTAACTATACACAATCAATGGTTTCCTTTAGAGTCAGTGTCTGCTATGAAACTCAATTGTAGATTCACTATTGTTACTGAAAGTTGAAGTCAATTGTTACTTTGCAAAAACGTAATTCTTGGTTGCTGAGGAAATTTACAGTTTGCTATAAGTCAATGGCTGCTATGATGTCACTGATTGCTATGGAAGTCAACAATGGAAATCAAACGGTTGCTATGGGAGTAAAATGTTGCTAGGTCAACGGGTGCTATGGGAGTCACTAATATGGGCAGAAACTTTTTGCTTTGAAAATCAATTGTTGCTTTAATAAGTCACCGGATGATATAAAGTCTTTGGTTGCTATGGACAGTCACTGATTGCTATGGAAAGACAATGGTTACAATAGATGTCACTTGTAGCTATAGAAGGTCAATGGTTGCTATGAAGTTATTGGATGCTTTTGAAAGTCACTTGATATTGTGGGAAGGAAGTCATTTGGTTCTATGGATGTCAATTGTTGCTATGGAAAGTCAATGGTTGCTACGGAATTTAATGGTTCCAGTATTAAGTCATTGGTTGCTTTGATAAGTCACTAGTAGTTATTGAAGTTTATGGTTGCTTTGGAAAGTCACTTTTTGCAAAAGAAGTCAATGGTTGTATGGAAAGTCAATTATTGCAAAATTTATTACTCATAGCAGCCTGTTACTACGGAAGGTCAATGGTTGTCAATGGTTGTCATCGAAAAACTGTAGTTGTCATGGATAGTCACTTGTTGTTCTAGAAATATATGGTTGCTATGAAATGTAAATGGTTGCTTTGAAAGTTAATGGCTGCTATGTAAGTAATCCTAAGTCAATGGTATGTATTGTAGTCAATGGTTGCTATTGAAAGTCAGTGGTTGGTATAAAAAGTCAGTGGTTCCATTGTAAGTTAATGGTTGCTATGTAAGTCGATGACTTATATTGAAAATCACTGGTTGAAGCTAAGTAAATGGTTTCTTGGAAAAGCAGTAGTTGCTATGGAAAGTAAATGGTTGCTATAGAAATCACTAACTTTTATTGAATGTCACGGTGGCTATTGAAGTCAATGTTTGCTATCGAAAGTCAATGGTTGCTATCGAAAGTAAATGGTAAGTTTGTATTGAAAGTAACTTATTGTTGTTGAAGTAAATGGTTGCTATGGAAAGTCACTTAATGTTGTGGATAATCATTGTTTGCTATGTAAAGTGCCTGGTTACTAAAGAGGTCTATGGTTGCTATTGAAAGTCCGTGGTTGCTATGCAAGTCAAAAGTTGCTAAACTAGTCATTGCTTGATATGGAAATATATTTGTTGCTATCGAAGTCAATCGTTTCTATGGATAGTCAATGGTTGCTATGTAAATTAAATGGTAGCAATATTTATCACTTGTTGCTATAGAAGTCAGTGGTTATTTGAAGTCACTGGCTGCTATTGAAAGTCATTGGTTACTATGGACATTCAATGGTTGCTACAATGGTACTATGGAAAGGAATTGGTTCCTATGCAATGTCACAGGTGGAAGAAGTCCATTAGATGTTAAAGGCAAAACAAAGACTTTAACCTTCGTGGTGTTAAAGAACAACATGTTTTAAAGTTTTTACATTTTTGTTCCCTTTGGGACAGGTCCAATTTTGGCTCCAGGGCAATAATATGATTTTTTTTGTTAAGATCCAACAGGCTATGTTTCATGCTAAACATCTTTGATATAGTACAAACAGTTTTCAAGAACAAGATTTTCAAAAAAAATTTACTGTAAAAAAGGAAAGCCATGACCCTCTGGGGCGAGGATAATTTCGACCCTTTGCCTCTCATGTGAACAAACTTTTTCTTTTGGGTATTGTTTCATATAAAAACAGGCTTTAGCTCTTGAAATTTTAGAGAAAACTATATATATTCGGAAAAGCCACGATCTCTTAGGGCGGGGATAATATAGCCCTCCAGGGGAATAATTTGAATTGGCAGAAGAGGTTCATTAGACATTGCTTCATGCCAAACGACTTTTAAAGATTAAGCTGTGGTTCTTGTATGTTACATTTCCTTTCAATGTGGTTGGCCATTGATGAATAATTATTGGATAACTCTGTAATTACCAGTAGTTTTCATGTTATGCTCCGGTAAAGGAAAAGTAACAAAGGACAGTAACTCTGTAATTTGTCAAAATGGAGTAATGATTCTTGTCCACTGTACTTCCTCTCAATACACTTGACCATTGTATGAAGTTGTTTTAAATTCCAACCAGTAGTTTTCAAGTTATGCTCCAGACAAGGAAAAGTAACAAAGGGCAATAACTATGTCATAAATCAAGATGGAGTTATGGTTCTCATGCACTGCAAGTCCTCTCAATGTGCTTGACCATTGTTTGAAGTTATACTGAATTCCAACCATTAGTCTTCAAGTTATGCTCTAAACAAAAAAGGCAATGGAAAAGTAACAAAGGGCAATAACTCTGTAATTAGTCAAGATGAAGTTATGGTTCTTGTGCATGGCACTTTCCCTTATTGTGCTTGACCATTGTATGAAATAGTTTTGAATTCCGACTAGTAGTTTTCAAGTTATGCTCCGGACAGAGAAAAGTAACAAAGGGCAGTAAGTCTGTAATTAGTCAAAATGGAGTTATGGTTCTTTGGCACTGCACTTCCTCTCAATGTGCTTGATCATTGTATGAAGTTATATTGAATTCCAACAATTAGCTTTCAAGTTATAGTCCGGACAAAAGAAAGCAATTGAAAAATAACAAAGGCCAATAACTCTGTAATTACTTTAGATAGGCTATGGTTCTTGTGCACTGCATTTTCCCTTATTGTGTTTGACAATTGTATGAAATTGTTTCGAGTTTCAACTAGTAGTTTTCAAGTTATGCTCTGAACATGGAAAATAACAAAGAGCAATAACTATGTCATAAGTCAAGATGGAGTTATGGTTCTCATGCACTGCACGTCCTCTCAATGTGCTTGACCATTATATGAAGTTATATTGAATTCAACCATAAGTCTTCAAGTTATGCTCCGGACATGGGAAATGCAACGGACCGCTTGACCGACCGACCAACCGATCGACTGACCGACCGACGGACCAACCGACCGACCAACCGACCGACCACCGGGTGACTCCTATATACCCCCCCCCCCAAACTTCGTTTTCGTCTATGACCCTAAGGGCGGGGCACGTTTGACTCAAAGGCTATAATTTGAACAATTTCCATTAAGGTACAACAGACAATATTTCTTGCAGAATATCTAAGATATAGCCCTGACAGTTTTAAAAAAAGAAGATTTTTAGAAAGACCGAAAAAAATAAGCAAAAGCCATTACCCTCTGAGGTGAGGTCATTTTTGATCCTATTTGAACAATGTTAGTAGAGATGTACTAGATAATGTTTCATGAAAAATAAAAACAAAACTTTAGCACTTTCCAATACCGTCCATGAACAGGCTCAATCAAACCGAGCCTGCAACATTTTCAATTTTTCCGTGTTGGGCTTTCTTTAGGGATCCTGTTTTTCTCTTTTTTAGCCTTTGTGGTGTTTTAGAGAAGATTTTTTAAGCTAGTATAAACAGATAAGAGAAATCTATGTGTTTTCGGGGTTTGTCCAATATTGACACAAGGGCTATAACATTCATCAAGGCGTTCATAGACGCTTTTTATATCTGTAGAGCAAAACGTCAAAAAGATACTAAATTCAGGGTAACGATTTTCAAAATTAAAATAAAAGTGTTCTGAATTATTCAAATTTTGAATCGAGAATTATAATCATGCATGCGTAACAGAAACAAGATGTCAAAAAAACCTCAAACACAATCATTTTTATATGCAGATGTTGTAAAATATTCTTTACCAGTTTGTATAAAAAATCAATAGGAACAACCTAGGCTATTATGCATAATAACCTTGAGCTTAGTATGGATTGAATGTAGTTCTACAACGTGGTTTCACATATTATGAAAACTAGTGGGTGTGATGTTCGGTAAAGTATATAGTTGACATCCAAGGGAAAATTAAGTCTATATCGGTGAAATTATGATTTAAAATTTATCTCTGATAATCATATTCAATTAAGAAATGCCAACTAATATACATTTGTTATCAAAATTGAATTAATGTGAACAGGTGAACATTTCTAACTTTCGGTTTCT